GTGCCAGGCTACACTCTAAATGGATAGCTGCCAAAAGGCCCCTCCCATCGAGTGAGCTCCTCATGTTAACAAAATGGCGCTAAAACCTGGAGGAGACAATCATGACGAGGATAGTGACCTAAGATGGTACACCCTGTAGGGAGGGCATTTTACTAACTACTTAGCACCTAAGCCAATTAACAATGTCTATTTGTCTATATCTTGATTTTCTTCAATGATGTAATAATGCCTTTAAAAGGGCCTGCGAGCCTGCTTTTTAATCAGAAGCCATTAAACTTCTCCAAAGTTCTTTCATTAACCTGAACTCTGTGTCTCAGTGTGAATTTACTTCTGCGTGCACGCAACTTTATTATCTTTAATTTGGACAGGAACAGATAGTCATTCAAACTAATTGGTTTGCAGTAAATCATCTACTACAGAAGCACTAGAAGACTCCTTGCACCACAACCTCTACAGGGCACTATAAGTACATGCTCCAAGCACAATAACCACTAACCTGTCCTTTGGAGCATTGCTTAATGGGTGTGCATAAAGCTGTAGGAACACCCCTCTCACACTTGTGTGCTGTAAGGACCATGCACTTTGCAAGCATATAACCTTTTTGGGGTTCTTAGGTTCCAAGATCCTTTAAAACACACAGGCAAAATTAAAGCAGCTCTGCTACTTCTTTCTATTTCACAAAGATATACAGGGTTATTCACTAAAGTGAGAATTCAATGTGAATTTCACATTTAAGGCCTCAGTAGCTGAAGTGGAAGCACTGCTAAAATAGAGAATTTTTCTGATTCAACTCTTTGACCTTAAGTTTGAAATTCACTTTGCATAATCCTGATAATCTTTACGAAATTCTCGTGCTGAGTAAAATTCTAACACTGTCTATAGATATAAGAAAAACAATGGACTACTCAGTGTTACGGGCAAGCCTGAGGTTGACTAAAAGGCAGCCTAGCTGTCAACTTTTGTCCGATCCCATCAGCTATCACCAATTGTTGTGTGGTTCAAGCATTGTTTCGCTAATTGCAATCTATGGAGGCTTATATCCTCCATAGACCTTAATGTTGTGCTCTGTGCTAGCATGGACAGCAATGACATGGCTCCTGGCAAATAGAAGGTGGCAGTGGCCATGATGCACAGCTTTAGGTAAGTGAATTACCTTCTAATGCCCCCTACAGGTACAGGACCCTAACTGCACTCACCTTAAGGGGAATATTTATAATTAATGCAAAGACCCCCAGAAAATATTTTTTCCCAGCCATTTTCACTTCTAAAGTGGAAGTTAGAAGTGAAAATGGCTGGAAAAAATATATTTTCCTATTTTAGCCTTGGGATTCCAGTACAAGCTGTAGTCTCCAGAATAAACCTGATGTAACCCCAGTAATAGAGAGTGTGCTATGTAATATATACATTTATGAATACTCCTCTCCTGTCACAGAACTAATAACACAGCAGACAGCAGCATGCCCCCCTCCTCTCACTGCTATCAGACAGCAGCATGCCCCCCCTCTCACTATCAGACAACAGCATGCCCCACCTCCTCTCACTGCTATCAGACAGCAGCATGCCTCCCCCTCACTATCAGACAGCAGCATGCCCCCCTCCTCTCACTGCTATCAGATAGCAGCATGTCCCCCCTCCTCTCACTGCTATCAGACAGCAGCATGTCCCCCTTCCTCTCACTGCTATCAGACAGCAGCATGCCTCCCCCCTCACTGCTATCAGACAGCAGCATGCCCTCCTCCTCTCACTGCTATCAGACAGCAGCATGCCTCCCCCTCACTGCTATCAGACAGCAGCATGCCTCCCCTCACTGCTATCAGGCAGCAGCATGCTTCCTCTCACTGCTCAGACAGTAGCATGCCCTCCTTCACTGCTATCAGAAAGCAGCATGCCCGCCTCCTCTCACTGCTATCAGACAGCAGCATGCCCCCTCTTCTCACTGCTATCAGATAGTAGCATGCCCCCCTCTTCTCACTGCTATCAGATAGCAGCATTCCCCCTCCTCTCACTGCTATCAGACAGCGGCATGCCTCCCCCTCACTGCTATCAGACAGCAGCATGCCCGTCCTCTCACTGCTCTCAGACAGCAGCATGATACCCCTGCTATCAGACAGCAGCATGC